CTTCTTGGAGACCTTCTCTGGAAGCTCGTCATCCCAGGTAACTTGCTTCCAGATTGCTTCACTTGCTGAACCCTGTTCCGATTTGACTCTGAGGCCAATCTTGACCACCCAAGCTTGATCCTTTGGAAGACGCTCAGGATGCGGCACGTGTGCTGCAAGAGCATTCACCTCCATCACAGTCGAGTGATCCGGCTGAATCATGGGCCCTGCGAAGGAGAAGTGCTGAATCTCCAGCTCAAAGCAGGCATCAACTTCTGCGGTCGCTTCACAAGAGTCCCAGCGAATCTCCAAACTCTTGTCACTGCGCACCTTGACCTCAAGGCCGGTGGGCTTTGGCGAAGATGCTCGGAGTGAAGACACCACGGCCATCTTGGGACTTCGGAAGACCTAGGAAGCTGAAGCGCTTTCAGGGGAAGCTGGGCCACAATGTCTGCACTGGAAAGCCCTGATCTCAAAGACAGCTGTCCAAAAGAAAAACTGCCCTCGAGTGAATTAGCATAGCAGGGCATGCTACGGGATGTTCAATTGCTGCCAACGTGCAAACTGCAATGAAAGCCCCCTCTTTCAAAACTTCTGCAACCACTTGGAATCTGGAAATCTCAGGGCTCATGGGATGTAGAAACCCACAACCCTATCTTGGAGCGACTTGGCCAGAGATTGGGCCCGCGACGATACGAGAGCTTCGTTGACAGCTACAGGAGCATCGTCCTAACAAGGAAAAGGTCGAAACATCTGGCACCATCACTTCTTTCAGATCTGGCAAAGACAAACAAACCCAGACCCGGCTGGCTGAAGAAGTTGGTGCAACCAGCCACCTGGGCCATGCAATTTTTGGTGCCTTCGATGCCCAGCAAATGATCAAAATGACATCCCACAGTTTGCCAAGCCCAAGCTCCTGAATGTGCTCACAGACCCGCACCAGGGAGAAGGCCCAGCTCGAACGGAACAGGGCGCGCCTGCGAAGGTTTACACTTCACACCGTGAATGTCACCCGAGGGAAATGACGCTACAATGGACCACCGGCTGTTGGAACTTGCTTGGACTCATCCGTTTTGGACTGTTCAAGGAGGACCTATAGAAACCAACCCGTTTTAACCATGGACTGGTTACTCCTGTTCAATTGGACTGCTTGCACATCTGGCACCTCAAGTCCAACACGGTGGATCGTGGGCCCACGAATCGTCGCTTTCGGACCTGTACCTCTGGAACCTCCCCCTCAAATCGTCGGCAAGCAACGGGGGCCCCAACAGCTGTAAGATTCACACCAAGAAGCCTCAGGCTGAACCTGAACACAACACGGCGTTTAGGCAGGGATGATACGCATGATGATGGGTACGGTACTAACTGTACTAACCTTCAGGTCGTACGGTGTCTCGTGAGACCTGCCAAACCATGCTCCATGCAGCGGTGCCGGCCAACTCACGGCCCGGGCCGGCCCTCGCCTCGACCATGTCAGATCCGCCTGACAGGACAACAGGAGAACAGATCGAACAAGTCTGGCTGACAGGATTTTCTTGGGATTAACAAAGCAAGAAATGTCAGGTGTTACGTGTCGGCGTGGGTTTTTTAGTCACAGTCCCTGGCCCTAACCTTCATGGATAGCACCCCT